GGAGTTTTAGTTGGCCCGACTTTCTTGCATTTCCTCCCCTTTCTCTCTCTGGTTGCAGACTCAGCAGTGGCGTTTTCTCCTGGAGGCCAAGGGAAGCCAGGCTTCCCCTGTTTTTTCGGATTGTAGTTATAATTTTAATAATAAATAAAAACACTTCGTTTGGTTTCGGTAATTCTTCTTTGCTGTGTGTTGCTGCCGGCCCGTCTCTCCCCCATTCTCATTGAGTATTTTACAAAGAGTGAAACAAACAGCGCCCCTCTAGATGTTATGGTGAAAATGTAGATTGCACTCACTGTTGCGAGAGGAGGCCAGCCGAATCTGGCTTCCTTTGGTGAAAAAAAATTGAGGGATTGACCAATCAGATGAGGCTCACGTGATGTCCCTTCCAACCTGTGATTGGTCAGGGCCATGCCAAGGGAAGCTGGAGGCGGCTGGCTTCCCTTGCCTCACAATCCAATCAAATCGCATCAAAGTGATGCGTCCTAAAATCCGGAAGTAAGCTGCGCTCGGTTTCCCTCGACAACAAATAAATGGGATTTCTCCATAGGACTTAGGAAAATAGCTCGAAATAAGGTCAGTGGAAAACGAACCTGTTAGATAAATGCACGTTTTGTTCAGTCGGATAATATCCACATGTCTACCCTACTTTTATAATTTTCGAATCATAAATCTAATCGATAGAAGATAGATAGCGTCACTCTCACCGCCGTTAGAAAGTAGCAAGCAACTGAAGCAAGTGCAATTATGGAGGGTGGAGATTTAGAGTATGTCATCAAAAATAATTGTACTAAACTTCCGCTACAGCAGCAACAACAACAACAAATACAATCTGATGACAGGCCAATGCCCAAACTGGAGCTGTGTACAGAGAGGAAAAAAGGAGCGAATCGGACGTAAAACGTTAAAGGTCTCCTGATTTAGTTTGTGAATGAATGCTTATTAGAGTTTGGGCTGGAGAGTGCGTGCGGACCTGTCGGTTAGATAACAGGCGTGTGTAAGTCCTGCATCTGTATGATACAAATGTGTGTAAAATGATACCGGGTGCTGTAATCACTCATCTGGTTACGTTATTATATTGACCACCACACCCCCGACCCAAAAGAAAGGACGTATTATTGGCTTCCCCTAATTTTTTCCCCACGCCACGCTACTGAGACTCAGTGCTGTGTTATTGGACCTCAGTTTCCTCTTCTGATTGTATTTAACAGCCAGCTTCTTCCGTCTGCCTCTCCCTGCCTTGGGTGGCATGTTAACGTAGACTTAAAGTAGAATTTACCTTGTGTTCTGCTCCCAATAATCTCCGATCAAGAATTTGATTTCCCACACGGCCGAAGCTTTTATACCATCGGGAGGTCACGTGTCGCCTTCGTGGGTGGTTCGGGTGCCATCGTGTGGCCTTCTGTAAGCATCGTACTTGCTTCAGCTGTTGCTTCGGCTGTTGCTTGGCCGATGACCAAGTTCGGGGCCATCTTCGTGCGAAATTCACAATTCCATATTCGTGTGTCCATCGGGAGTCAATTTCGGGACAGTGTGACAGGGCCTTTAGGCTTTGCACCCAGAGAGTTCCAGGGAGGACTACCACTTGTAGATGTATTTCCCGGTACACAGCCCTCCTGTTCCTTGGAATCCTTGTAGCGGCTAACTAGCTGTGAGTTAGCATGCCCTTGTCCATTCTTTTGCAACACTGGTAAAGTGGTGTCATTCCCACATAGTCCATTCACTTCCACATTAACAACTGTGTGTTCCAACTGTTGCATTTTCATTTCCAACAAGGCCATCTTCTGGAGAAGTTTGGAAGTCATCTGTAGAGAACGGAGGCATTTTGCTGCTAACTAGCTTACGCTAAATAGCATGCAGTAGCCTACCAGGCTTTAGCTGTTGCTAGGCCACGCTACTGTAAGACTGAGGTCGTCGTAAAAATATTGAAATATGGCTGAAACCCTCCGTCTATTTACGAAGAATAACTGTCCCAGTGATAGGTTAATGTCCAGGAGCCGCTGCTCGAAGTATTCAGAAAAGAAAAATAGAAAAACAGCATAAAAAAGTAAGCAGAGGCAAGAGCAGGCAGAAAAGCGTCTGCAAAGCAGGAAGCGGATCTTTCCTGTATGCCTGGCAAGAGTCATTTGACAATCTGTTTAAAGTGATCGACAGATCAGAGAATAACCACATTTGACAACATGAATAAGTATCAAAGGTTTAAACTTGAAAAGTCAATTTACCCCCAGATGGCTCAATTTACCCTTTAGCTGAGGCAAGATAAGCCACAAGACGGCCCTTTCTGATAGCATTATTTCCATTTTGATTGACAGAACACATCCTGAAGGAAAGGTTGTTGTTGTCATTTGACTTCTATCTAATTTTCCTTGCCTAGAGGACAACATAAGTAATATTGGCTCATCTTATCCCACTCTCCCCTATACATATTATGTAATTCTGCTAAGTGCTAACAACAAGTGATTGAGGCACTTCATCATCATCATCATCATCATCATCATCATCATCATCATCATCATCATGTTGCAGCTAGCTGTGGGTCCTCTGTTCTCCATCCAGCCAGCCTCTCCTCAGCCTCTGTAATAAAGCGTTCCTGCTACCAGAAGCATAATGCTTCTGGCATATCATCACACTCTGTTTTCTTCTTCCAACTCCATTCCACATACATTCAGGTCCGAACTAAGCAACAGTGGGAGAATGTACTGTAATGAATGCAAAGCAAAGCACTAAGAGGTATTTTTTCTTTTCTTGGGGCTCTTAAGGAATATGGATTACGAATGAGGGCAGGATCAGACCTGCTGTGGTTTTAACATGTATGAATCTTTTCATTTGCATGGAGCCCGCTCCTTTATCTGCAGGTGAGGATCAGGCTGCCCTGCTGACTCTGGTGAACAGCACATTAGGGTATTTTAGGCCTGTGCTGGGCTAGAATATATGTTTTATTCCTCAATACTATTACTCATTATGGACGTCATGTTTATAACTGATGCATAGTGCAAGTTAATCATATTTGATATTTATTCTTCTACACTTCCAAAGATGTGAGGACTATGTTTCACAACATTTAAAAACTATTGATTATAGACATGACAGAATAATTATTGGAATATGAAAATAAAGTTAGATGTTCCAGTAAGCTGGAACAATATTTGGATTGGTCAGTTATCCTTGTGTCATTATGTGTCGAGCTGAGCCTTCTGCGCATACCTGGACCAAATCATCTGGCTATGTCCAGATGGAAGATGTCTGGAGGATGGTAAGTATGCTAAACAACAATACTTATTCATAATTGAACATCATTATATATTGGGCTTTTTATCTATAAATTGCTTGGATTTTTCTCTGCATCAGGTAATGTCAGAAGGCAAACTTTTAAAATACACTGCCTCATCACCACTAAGCACAAAGTCAAACTGAGGCTGATAGGAGGTATCTATCTAATAACTTTTAGAGAGTCTGATTTATCTCATCCATGTGTGCTAGAGACAACAGCAAGTCAGCTGGCTTATAGCAACGTGTAAAACGTGCATCGTCTCAACCGGTAGCTGCAGAAAGACTCTAAGGTCAAATAAGTAATAAATCCAAAAACATTTAACACAGGATTTCCTGTTTACAAGACACAAGCCCGGGTCCTCGGCAGTAAGTCTGACCCATTTCCGGTGAGGGTTGGCCTCCGCCAGGGCTGCGCTTTGTCACCAATCCTGTTTGTAATATACATGGATCGGATTTCGAGGCATAGTCGTGGGGGAGGGGGTCTGCAGTTCGGTGGACTAAGGATTGCACCACTGCTTTTTGCAGATGATGTGGTTCTAATGGCTTCATCGGTCTGCGACCTTCAGCACTCCCTGGATCGGTTCGCAACCGAGTGTGAAGCGGCTGGGATGAGGATCAGCACCTCCAAATCTGAGGCCATGGTTCTCAGCAGGAAACCGATGGACTGTCCACTTCAAGTAGGGAATGAGTCCTTACCCCAAGTGAAGGAGTTCAAGTATCTCGGTGTCTTGTTCTCGAGTGAGGGAACAATGGAGCGTGAGATGGGCCGGAGAATCGGAGCAGCGGGAGCGGTACTGCAGTCGCTTTACCGCACCGTTGTGACGAAAAGGGAGCTGAGCCAGAAGGCAAAGCTCTCTGTCTACCGGGCCATTTTCGTTCCTACCCTCACCTATGGTCATGAAGGATGGGTCATGACCGAAAGAACGAGATCGCGGATACAAGCGGCCGAGATGGGTTTTCTCCGCAGGGTGGCTGGTGTCTCCCTTAGGGATAAGGTGAGAAGTTCGGTCATCAGGGAGGGACTCGGAGTTGAGCCGCTCCTCCTTCGCGTCGAAAGGAGCCAGTTGAGGTGGTTCGGGCACCTAGTTAGGATGCCACCTGGGCGCCTCCCTAGGGAGGTGTTCCAGGCACATCCAGCTGGGAAGAGACCAAGGGGTAGACCTAGGACCAGGTGGAGGGATTATATCTCTTCGCTGGCCTGGGAGCGCCTTGGGATCCCCCAGTCAGAGCTGGTTGATGAGGGGGAAAGGAACGTTTGGGGCTCTCTGCTGGAACTGCTACCCCCGCGACCCGACCACGGATAAGCGGGAGAAGATGGATGGATGGATGGAAGACACAAGCCCTCTGAGGAAAAGGTGTGCAGTTTAAATCATTCTCTAAAATAAATAGTATTATTATTATTTCTTCTATTCTTCAAGGCTGTGGTTAAATATATATGCATTTACATTAACAACCTCTGCAGTTTTAAACTAGCATTGGGATTAATTTCTCCCTCTTAAGCGACACCCCCTACAATGTGTGTTCTTTAAAAGCAAAATCAAATATAATACATTTAAAGTAGAAAAACTGGATTTTACATTGTTTTCATCTGTAATCATACTCTGTGGTCTCCAACCTGCACAATGCTCTCAAGTGTTTGTGTAACAGCTGTGTATCTAAAATGATACTGGTTTCTATCAGTAGACTGTTCAGCTGTATTGCAACGGAAGGAAAATTAGACATTGTTTGGTCAGAGAGAAGAACGCTAATTCTCACACACTGAAAAACCTGAAACGTTGATTTTAATTA